GGTGGTAAAAAGAAGTCAGTTCTTTGAAAGGATTAACAAAAGTGACAAAACACTGGCAAACTTAAAAAAAGGAAAAGAAATGATACAAATATCAAGAATAAGAAATGAAAAGGGTGCCATCACAACAGAACTAAATGGAATTCAAAAGATAATAACATTACTACGAAGCCCTATACTCAAATTTGAAAACTTAGATGAAATGAACAAATTTCTTAAAAAAATACTATCTACCCCAAATTGACACTGATGTGGAAAATCTCAACAGGCCCATAGCAAAATAAGACATAGATCAGATCACTAAAAAATCTCAACAGAAAAGTGCAAGGCAGGTGGCTTCACCAGGGAATTCTACCAAGCATTCAGAGAACACTTGACACCAATTCTACACAAACTTCTTTAAATAATATAGAAAAAGACAGCAAACTCCTGAACTCACTTTATGACGCATAACCCTGATACCAAAGCCAGGCAGAGCTATTACCAGGATAGAAAACTACAGCCCAATATCCTTTATGAAGGAGCTCTGGCGGCGGAGTGATTACATATTGGGCTACGATCCTCAAGGTGCATAGTTTGAAACCAGCAGCCGCACCACAGACAAAGACAAGGCTTTCTACTCCAATAAACAGTTACAGTCTCACAAACTCTCACGGGTACTTCTACCCTGTACTACAGGGTGGTTGTGAGTTGGCATTGACTCAATGGCAGTGAGTTTGGTTTTGAGATTTTTATCCCTTAAAAAAGGATGCAAAAAAAAAAGTCACAAAACTTCTGGCCGATAGAATTCAATAGTACATCCAAAATAATAATAATACATCATGATTATGTGGGATTCATAGGAGGTATGAAAGGTGGGTTCAACATCAGAAAAGCTGCCAATGCAATCTCAATTTTAAAAAAATAAGAACTACTTTAATAAAATCCACCACCCATTCAAGATAAAAACACTAACACAGGACTAGAAGAGAAATTTCTCAACATAAGGAAGGTCCTGTATGTCCAGCATGTCGCTCAATGGGGAGAAACTGAAAGCATCCCCTTGAGAGTCAGGAGCCAGACCAGGGAGTCCTCTATCACCACTCTCACTCACACTGGCTGCAAGGCTCAGCCACACTACTACACAACAGAGAGAGATTAAAGGCTCCAGATTGGCAGAGAGCAAAAGTAAACTCTATTTGTATAAGATATGATTCTATATGCAGAAAACTCCAAGCTTGACCCCCCCAAAAATTGGAAACAATTGAAAGATTCAGCAACGTGGCAGGATACAAGGTCATCACACACACAAAAATCAATGTTTCCTATATACTAAGATTTATCGTATTTGCCTGTACACTAACGAAGAAAACTCTGAAAGGGAAATCAAGAAACAGTAACATCTACAATAGCCACCCAAAAGATGAATACTACTTTAGAACCTAACCTAAGCGAGGAAACAAAAGATCAGAACTCAGAGAACCACAAAACACTA